TCATCTGTCTCCCCAAAAAAGTGAAGCCCCTCAAGCTACAGGCCAATCAGTCTGCTTAGTTCATTGAGCAAAGCAGTTGAATCAATCCTTCTCGATCGGCTCTTAGACCACGTGGAGCAAAACAACCTTCTCCCCGATCACCAACACGGCTTCCGCAGGCGTCACGGAGCCGGACACCAACTTCTCCACGTACCTGAATACATTTCCGACAACCTTAACTAGCGACGTCACACCTCCATGCTTCTTCTTGACGTCCATCAAGCGTTCGACCGAGTCTGGCACGAAGGCCTTATCTCAAAACTCATCACCCTTATCCATATTATCTAGTGGGGGTTATCACGTCTTTTCACACAGGCAGAAGTGATATATGGGACTATGTAATTGAAAGTTATAAACAAATCATGAATTTTTGGTTTCTAGTAGTAAGTGTAGAAATTAATAAAAGTGCAATAGGGTGTTTATATAGATCTCCTAGTGCATCTAGTGCAACGTTTTGTGAATTCTTTGACGAATGTTTCGAAAGATTGGTAGAAAACACTAAATATCGCATAATGTTAGTGGGAGATTTTAATATAGACTATAATGGGAAAGGAAATTGAAAACGATAATAAAATTTAATGGTTGAAGAAAATAATTCGAAGTGGTCTGTATTCTATCGAAACTGCCAGACGCGGATCGCGAATTCGATCTTTTTGGATCTCATCAGCGCGTCGCAGGCAGCTCCGACAGAACACAGACCAACTTTTACCTGCTGTCTTAACAGTGCGTTTTAGAAAATACCACAATAGACTTAAATCGGTTTAAAAACTTAGCAAGTAATATAGTTTATGATTGCAGAGTAAATAATTTAAATACTAAGATTGAAATATTCTGTGATTAATTTACAAAGACTATTGATACGGTAATGCCAAACAAAAAAGTATTAAGGGGGTTTTGACGGCAATTGAAAATAAAAATGTGCAATTCAAAAGATTTCTATTACCAAAGAAGCAAAAGACTGGGAATTATATAAAACAATTAGGAATAGGATCCTATCAATACTGAGAATAGAAAAGGTGAACTACTACAATGGGATCGTAGACGAATGCCAGAAAGATGCCAAACTAATGTAGAAAACACTTAAAATGGTAACAAATGCAAATAAACAATAAACTTATTACGAAATACAAATTAATGGCGACATTGTCAACCTGAAGCACCAAATAGCTAATTCAACGAATATTTTATTGAAAGTAGTAAAGAAATAACAAACAGTATTGTAGCGAGCACGAGTGTGTTGATGTGCGATTGGGCACACGTCTGTGTAAACGGCTTATCCATTCCCCGACTAGCCTCGGGCGCTTTCTTGATGTGCGCCGTATTTGTAAATGTGTGTCGTACCTGCGTCCTGGGAAAGCAGTTAAATAGTTCATAGTAAAAAAAAAACAATCAGGATGTTTTCAGATGGTTCCAGAAAGTAAACAAAAAGAATTTAAAGGAAGGGACGATCGCCGAGAGGAGAAGAAATTAATTGACCGTTGCAGAAGTGAATCGAGAAATAAATTGACAGTGGTAGCAGTGAAATAAATAGCGCAGTGAATAGTGATATATCAACAGTAGGGAAAATAAATAGAATAATTCATAACCTAAGTTTAGTAATAATTTAATAGTGTTTTTAAGTTCTTTAATAATTAGTGTAAATAAGTAGTTCCTGTCGTTATCAGTCTAAGAAGTTAATTTTGTTAAACCCACGAACATTACAACTGCTGTCAGGTGTGGGGTTGAATAAAAGACATTACACTGGCAAAGAATTAAAAATTAAATTAAAAGTACTCCTTCCTAAAATACTCGACGTCTGTTGAAATAAGTGGAGTGATTGACAGATATTGTAGGAATCTAATCAGTGAGCAGAAATGCAAAGAGCAACATCTACTTTATCAGAATGCCAACTGAGAATGAGACTGACAAGAATGTTTTTTTACTTGGGACATGTTGTATCAGCGAAGGGCGTGGCCGTGGATCCAGAGAAGATAAAGGCCGTGAAGGAATGACCAGTGCCTGAAAAAGTGCACGACATAAGAAGCTTGGGATTTTGCATGTATTAACGTCGCTATGTTTATGGATTTGCCAATATCGCCAAACCTTTGACACGTTTAACCGAAAGTGACCGCAAATTTCATTGGGATTCGGATTATCAAACTGCATTTGAGACTTTGAAGCTTTAATCACAGCCCCCGTACTGGTTTATCCTCGGCCCAATGGAATGTTCATTTTGGACACCGACGCCAGCAATGTGGAAATGGGAACCATTCTTTTGCAGTTACAAGATGGCTAAGAGAAGGTAATCGGCTATAACAGAATGAAGATTCGGGCTGTAGGGCCGTGGTGTATGTGAACTATTCCCTCCAAACGTTTCGTCAGCTTCTGCAGCTGACATCCTCAGTGGTAGTGCTGCGTTGACAACCTGAACGTAGATTATATCTCGAAGCCTCGACAGGGACTGGGTGCGACAATATAAAACACGACCCGGACTTGAAGAAGGTGATGGAATGGAAAAGAGACGGAAAACGACCAACGTGGCAGCAAATTTCTAACTGTACCCAAGTATTAAAATCGTTAAGGGCTCAGTAGGACTCAATGGTTTTGGAATATGGCATCCTGAAGCGTATTATTGAATCTCTAGACGGAGAGGAAGATGGGAAGCAACTGGTTATTCCTCGAAACAAGGTTAGAGAAGTGTTGCAGTATCTTTATGATGGATCATCTGGTGGCCATTTTGAAGTGAATAAGACGCTTGAGAATGTTTGAGGTAGATTTTATTGGGTGAACTACAAGGAAGATGTTAAGAATTGGTGTACCACCTATGCTGCGAGTAATGGACCACAGAAATGGCCAAGGGCGCTATTTGTCTTTATTTTTAACGCCATACCGTTGATCTATCGACGAAACGACTGGCCAAACACCTGCCAGTGTCCTTTTTGGAAGGGAGTTACGACTACCTTGTGACTTCAAATTCGGCTGTAAACCAGAAGAAGACTTGGCTGGAGAAGATTATATTACCAACCTCCGAAGCCACGAAGCGGTTCGTCTACATACACAGATTGCTAGTGATGAGATTAAAGAAAACTACGATATCAAGGCTACAGCTGGTGGTTACCAAACTGGAGATCTTGTTTGGTTGTGTAATCCTCGTCGTTGCCGTGGACTATCACCTAAGATCCAACAGAATTGGGAAGGACCCTGTGAGATAGTGAAGAGGATTAACAACGTGATCTATCGAATTAAGAAAACACCAAATGGGAAGCCGAAGGTAGTCCATTTTAATCGCTTGGCTCCATTCGCCGCTGCAAATGAAGAGGAAGCGCGGGCNCAGCCCAATCACATATTGTGTCAATACTTATCATTTTATCGTAATTTAAAAACTTGGAAATTGCACGGTACACTATAGGAACTACGAAAAATTTTCCCTAATCGGCGCCATGTGTTTAGGCTCCTCCCATTTGACGGATCCCAATAGATAGGAAAATATTATTAAAAAAGCTGGAACGATATCATAAATAATATCTTACGTTACTACATTCGGCCATCCTGCGTAAAACATCTGACCTCAGATGTTCTCTTCGTTTTCTTCATTGTCGTCCATCTCGCTTTCTATCCCTGCGGTCCATAGCTTTAGATGGTACACAGACGCTGATGTCTGGTTTGGCCCTTCATGGTCTGCTATCTTTTGTATCACGTACCGGTCGTTTCTTAAACCTTTTAGAATTTTGTACGGTCCTAAAAATTTAGCTCTCAGTTTGAGACGTGGTCCAAATTGAGTCCTCTTAATTGCGACCCAATCTCCTCTTGGTAATGTCTGGCTGCTTTTCATCGTTTGTCATATCTTTTTTTAATATCGTTCTGTATTTCGGCAATATTTTCTCTCGCTTCATCTGGCAACTCGTTTCTTTCTTCTTCGAATCTATTAGCCCGATCTTGTTGTAATATTTCCTTTACTTCGTTATCGTCCTTAAATCGAGCATTGACAGCAAAAAGTAGATGGAAAGGTGTTTTACCTGTGCTCCGTGAAGGCGTCGTATTTAAATATTGTTGATCCTTTTCGACGTATCTGCACCAATTTTCCGGAACAGGAGCAGTAAGTTTGGTAAGAAGTGGTATAAGGGTGCGATTCATCCTTTTTACCTGTCCGTTCCCTCGTGGTACACCGGTTGTAATTGTGACATGCCCAATATTTTCTTCTTCACAGTATGAATGGAGAGCGTTGGACGTGAAGGCTGTTCCACAATCTGATATAATTCTTCGCGGGCTGCCGAACAATGCTGCCTGCTTGCGCAGCCGACCAATTACTTCCGCTGCATCGGTCGACTTCGTAGGATATAGTCATATGAATTTTGTGAATACATCTGTGGGAACACTCGGTATAGTAAGAAAACATTCATTGTTGTGTATCAATTAAGCGCCTACATTTGTGCTGACTTAGTTAGGTCGCGACACACTGCGACTAACTAGGTCAACGGCAAATACACACACAAATGTAATGTGCTGAAATGTTCTTTGCCATTTAAACCATGTAAATAAATTTTGTATAAATAGTCTGTAAATATCCGAATAAAATTAGTCTAACACCAGGCTCACTATTATTCGGATGCTGATAAAGTGTCAACCCTTGGAATCATCAATGATGCAGATAATGTGTCCAACGATATTACTAAATCGGTTCTTCTCAGAACCACAACTTTGATAGTCACATCTCTCATCATATACGACTACAGAGAGTGGCTACAGTGGTGACCCCGATTACGAACAGTGATAAACTACATTGGTGACCACAGCCGCAACCTTTTGAGGATGACCTGCCGCCGTCACACATTCTCCACCGGCCAGTCCTCATCAGGACTACATTGGTCATCCTGCGGAGCAGCGCAACCCTGCTCCTCCGCAAGCAGCATGTAAGCTAACAACACCGCCCAGGCCAGCCGCAACGTAACGCCCAACCTTGCCACAACACGCCGCCGTTAACCATGTCCCTTGACCGACTAGAAGTCAAATTGCCACCCTTCGTGCCTTCCGACCCCGAACTCTGGTTTTGCATGGTCGACCGCAGTTTTGAGGCCTACGGAATTACGTCTGAATCAACAAAATTTGGGTATGTACTAGGCAACCTTGACCCTCACTATGCGGCGGAAGTGCGTGATATCATTGTCAATCCCCCGGCGACTGATCCATATGCCACCATCAGGGCAGCACTCATTCGTCGGCTGGGCATCTCCCAAGAGGCACGGATGAAACAACTCCTCGAGCCAGAAGATTTGGGAGACAGGAAACCCACGCAATTTCTGTGCCATCTACGCGGTCTGGCCGGAACCACTATGTCGGACAATTTACTGCGAACCATTTGGTCAAGTCGTCTTCCTCTTAATATTCAAGCCATCATCGCAACTATGCGCGATAAGAATCTGGATGAAACAGCGGGGGTAGCTGATTACATCATGGAAGCAACGCAAACACAGTCCATGATAGCAACCACGGCCACACCTACTCCACAGCACGATGCCATCCAACAGCTGACCAACAAGGTGTAAGCACTCCAGATGGATCTACACCAAATAAGACGACACATGGCGAGAAACTCAAGAACAAGATCTCGATCAATTTCAAGTGGTACTTCTTCACGAAAACGATACAACAGTAACGACAGGACCAGCGGCCTTTGCTATTACCACAGCAAATTGCAGGACAAAGCACGGAAATGCATCCCTCCGTGTAGGAAGTCATCGGGAAACCAACCAGGAGCTCACTAATGGCGACAAGTGAGGTCCACACAACGCAGCGTCGCCTATTTATAACGGACAGAGCCACAAACCAAAAATTTCTGGTCGACACCGGTGCAGATATCTGCGTGTATCCCAAGTCACTAATACTTGGGCCAAGTCAGAAATCCACATTCACGCTACAAGCAGCAAACGGCACCAACATACCGACCTATGGTACTATTATTCTGTCGCTCAACTTAGGCCTACGAAGATGTTTCCCATGGCGTTTCATCATAGCCGACGTCACCAAACCAATTATCGGTGCAGATTTCCTAGCGCACTATCAACTGCTGGTAGATTTAAGCAACCAACGACTCTTGGATCAACTGACACACCTCACCACCTCTGGTAAATTAATCAACTGCTGCCAACCTTCCGTCACTTTCGTTACAGAAACGAAAACGACCACTTCCCCATACCACGAGATACTTCATGATTTTCCGTCATTAACTCGACCCAACGGCCAGATCACCTTTTCGAAACATGCAACAAGGCACTATATCAACACTACCCCCGGTCCACCAGTAGCATGCAAACCACGACGTTTAGCCCCGGACCGTTTCTCTGCAGCAAAGAGAGAATTTGAAACGTTGGTACAACTGGGTATCGCACGTCCCTCCTCCAGCCCCTGGGCATCGCCACTGCACATGGTCCCAAAGAAAGACGATGAATGGCGCCCATGCGGAGACTACCGTGCTCTCAACGCGAGAACAATCCCGGACAGATATCCAGTACGCAACATCGACGATTTCACGCATGCACTAGCAAATAAGAAGATTTTCTCCACAATCGACTTGGTTAGAGCGTATAACCAAATTCCAGTCGCAGAGGAAGACATCCCAAAGACAGCAATTACAACACCTTTTGGATTGTTCGAGTTTCCTCATATGAATTTTGGTTTACGTAACGCCAGCCAAACATTTCAACGTTTTATTGACGAAGTGTTACACGGCCTTGACTTCTGTTTTGCTTACATCGACGACATACTGGTCGCATCAGAAAATGCTGAGCAGCACAAACAGCATTTACGCACGTTGTTTACTCGTCTACAGTCATACGGAATACTGCTTAACCAAGCAAAATGCAACTTTGGTAAACAAGAAGTTTCTTTTCTAGGTTATTCTGTCTCGGCAAATGGAATACGTCCTTTACCCGACAGAGTAACAGCAATCTCCAATTTCCCCAAGCCTACTACCGCAAAACAATTGCGACGTTTCCTGGGTATGCTCAACTTTTACAGAAAGTTCCTGCCTAACGCTGCCCGCACTCATTCTGCTCTGAATGAACTTTTACTGGGGAAGATCAAAGGAAATGCACCACTTCAATGGAATCCCACAGCCAACGAGGCATTCAATTCAAGTAAGGAGCAACTGGCGCAGACTACTCTCCTGCACCATCCGCAACCAGATGCTACCTTAGCAATTTTCTGTGACGCATCCGACCATCACTTGGGCGCTGCGTTACAACAATTCCACAATGGAACCTGGGAACCCCTTGCATTTTTCGTCGAACATCGAACGCTGAAGTCAAATACAGCGCTTTCGGCAGAGAACTTCTCGCGATTTATAGCACGATTAAGAATTTCCGCCATTTTCTCGAAGCCCGTGACTTCTTTATATTTACCGATCACAAGCCTCTTACCTTTGCCTTCCGTCAGAACCCTGACAAATGCTCTCCCAGACAGTCACGGTACCTCAATTTTATTAGCCAGTTCTCAACGAACATCCAGCATATTTCTGGGAAAGACAATATCATCGCAGACGCACTCTCACGGATTTCTGAGTTATCAACACATATTGACTACGAAGCTCTTTCTACTGCACAGGAATCCGATAGGGAACTTCAAACTTATAGCAACTCTAACCAATTCATACAACTTAAACGGATTCACATTCCTAACACAAGCAAATCTATATCAGTGCAAAGACTGTAACCAGCGTACATCATGAAAGAAGAACAGCGCTTCCAACCGATACTCACAACAAGGAAAATGGACGATCGACCAACCCATACTACAACCCGGTCCGGTCGTCGAGTACATTTCCCTAGCTAAATCCGAGCAAGCTGATCCACATCGTTCCTCACTGGAAGGGGGTCCTGTGGGGACACTCGGTATAGCAAGAAAACATTTATTGTTGTGTATCAATTAAGCGTCTACATTTGTGCTGACTTAGTTAGGTCGCGACACACTGCGACTAACTAGGTCAACGGCAAATACACACACAAATGTAATGTGCTGAAATGTTCTTTGCCATTTAAATCCATGGAAATAAATTTTGTATAAATACTCTGTAAATATTCGAATAAAATTAGTCTAACACCAGGCTCGCTATTATTGGATACTGCAACAGTATCAACTCCAGAATATCAACCATCGGATGCTGTACCAGTGCTACGTCTCATCATAGGCACAGCAATGTGTCCAACGTTTTTATAAATCGGTTCTTCTCAGAACCACAACTTGTTAGTCACACATCTCTCATCTCACACGACAGAGTTTGGCTACACATCAATCACTACTAGGATATGTTGATACATTTTCTTTGTCGTAGTCATTGGTTCAATGTGGTCTATGTGGTAGGTTTGTAGCGGTAAGTCTCGTTTATCAATAATGTGAAGGAACCCTTCCTGTTTGCCGTGCTTTCTCTCTGCTAAAATGCAGTTTATACAACTAGCCACTACCTGCTCGACCTTTTGCCGCAGGCCTTTAAACCAAAAGTCCTTCTTTAGAATCGCTTCAGTTTTATTGACACCAAAGCGTCCTCGCTCGTGAGCTTGTCGCGTTACCTGGGCTTGCATACATTTAGGTACAACAATTAGCATATCATCACCTACAATTTTATGCAATATTCTATTTCTTATTAAGTAACCGTCGGCTTGATTACGAATTGTGACGTCTATTATTTTGACTATCCCTTAATCTTTCTCTTGCGCGCTTCTCAGACGCGTAATCAAATCGACTTCACTCTCACATATTAACATTGTACTGGGCACAGGATACCTGCTTAACGCGTCAATGTCTTGCATATTTTTGCCTGACCCATGACAAACTTCATAATTATACTCTTCTAATAATGCAACCCGCCTGGCCGTCCGCACACACAAATCTTTCTTTTTCACAGTTATTACAAACGCTCTACAGTCGGTTACAATCTTAAAGGAAATGCCTAATAAGTATACCCTAAACTTTTTCAAAGCTTTAATTATGGCTAACATTTCTAACTCGTAACTCGTGTACCTCTTCTCAGTTTCTGACATTTTTCCGCTAGCAAAATATACAGGGTGGAATTTTCGATCATCGTCGTCCAATTGTAACAGAATCGCCCCATACCCTACTTGAGACGCATCTGTATGCAATTCAGTCTCTGCGCCCACACTATATAATTTTAACAACGGCTTATTAATAATTGCGACTTTTAATGATTCAAAAGCTTCAATTTCACGACATCCAAAATTAAATTTTGCGTCCTGTTTTAATAGATCCGTCAACGGTGTAGCAATTGTGGATTACCCTCTTATAAATTTCCTAAAGTATCCCGTTAAATCTAGAAAAGTCGGTACCTGTTTTACGGTAGTAGTACAAGGAAAATCGTAAACCGCCTTTGTCTTCCATTCTGAGGGTCGTATCGTGTTTCGCATTACAATGTACCCTAGGTACTCTACTTCGGTTTGCAGAAATTGACATTTTTCCCAATTGATAATTAACCCGTGTTGACTTGCGACTAATACACGTTTTAATTGTTTTACACCATAATCTAGATCACCAGCTAAAATAATCAGGTCGTCCATATAAGTCACTACGACTTTCTGTTCAATTAAACTCTTAAAAACAACATTAATAAATTTTTAGAATATTATTTGCGACACGCACAAACCAAACGGGGCTTTCGGAAACTCATATTGGCCTGTTGGAGTTACAAATGCAGTATATTTTTGACTTAACGTATTGTAGCGACCACGAGTGTGATTGTGTGCGATCGGGCATATGTGTGTGTCAGCGGCTTATCGATTCGCCGACTAATCGCGGGTGCTTTTCTTCATGCGCACCGTATCTGTAAACGTGTGTGTCGTACCTGCGTTCCGGGAAACAATTAAACCGTTCAAAGAAAACGGTACTTCTCTGGAAGGCTGGAGAATGTTCCCGAAAGGAGGCAAGGGAGTATAAAAAGGAAGAGACGATCGCTGAAGTAGAGTAGAAATAAATTGACCGTTGCAGAAGTGAATCAAGAGATAAATAGACAGTGATAGAAGTGAAATAAATAGAATAGTGAATAGTTATAGTAATGTAAATAAATAGAATAATTACCGAAATTTAGTAATAATTTAATAGCGTTCTTAAGTTTAATAGTAATTGGAATTGCGCTACGGCGAGGCTCATTTAACAGCGGTGTATCACATCGAACTGAAAACCCGTTAACAGAAACCAACGGAATCCCTACAAGAATTCGAGGCCGATATTGCGAGACTGTCCCGACTGGCCTATCCTAATAGTCCAGAAGAATTGATGGAAAGGTTGGCAATGGAGGCATTTACTAATGGACTTCGGGACAGTGACACCCAACAACGAATACGCCTTGACCGACCTAAGACGCTAGCTGATGCATTGGCTCGTGCTTTGGAGTACGAAACTGTTAAACGGACCTATAGCCAACAGGGAAGGGTTCGGCTACTGCGTGAAGAAACGGATTTGTCAGAATCTTTAGAAGAAACCGTCTGCCGAATCATCTCCAAATTCTAATTGGAATTGCGGCAAACTAGGTCACATAGGA